TGGAGGCATTTTTTTTTTTTTCAGTTGAGGTTCCCTTCTCTCAGATGACTCTACCTTGTGTCAAGTTGAGATAATATTAGTTAGCACAACTTCCTAATGGGAAAGGATGAAGAAAGGTTACCTGTAACCAGATGACATGATCTTCCACATAGAAAACCCTGGGAAGTCTACCAAAACAAAGAGAAACATGTTATAACTTAGTGAAATTCAGAAGTAGCAGTATACAAAATCAGTGCTTGGAAACCAGTGACATGTCTTTAAACTAAAAATAGTCTGATCTTACAAGGGATTTTAGAAGCATTTACGTTTACAATAGAATTAAAAATAGTTCAGAGTAAAATTAACAAACTAAAGACTTATTATTTAGTAAAATTGTCTATAACCAAGTCAATTCATGGGGCTTTTAAATGCTGCTGAAAATTTAAAGATGAAACAAAGAAATGGGAAGACACTCTATACATTAATAAAATACTGACATCTTAATATTTTTGGAAGTCTTTAGTATTCAGTTATTTACAGTCCAGTGATGCTTTGAAAAAAAATCATTTTGTAATAGCCAAAATGACTTTAAAGGAGAACAACAAATTCAGTAGGTAGTCTCCTAGTTCTTGATCTCAAAAATCAGTACAAAGCCAACAGTAATTGAAACAGTGTGATATTGGGATTAGGATGGTGATACGTGCATCAACTGCATGGAGTAGGCAGCTCTGAAACAAAACTCTCCAAAAATGGCCAAAAGATGGCCAACAGGGATACCAAAAGCTCTCTGTTAGAAAAGAACAGACTTTGAAACAATATTGGGGGCTAGATCTCCACATGCAAAAGAATAATAATGAACTCTAGAATAACAGCACACCTAAAAATTAAAATGGCTCTTTAGAAAATGTAAATGCAAGAGCTAAAACTATAAAATTCTGTCTTGGTTTGGCTGCTGTGAAACATCACCATGAATCGATTGTGTTTTGGATAATTGATATTCATTTATCACCATCCTGGATACTGGCAGTTGGAGATTGTGGTACTATGAAACACCGTGCCGGGGTCCAGTTCTAAGTGTGGCCTGCTTCTGGGATGGTGGTTAACTTCTTGTACATCTTATATGGGGGAGGAGAGTGTTGTAGCTCTTGGGCCTCTTCTTATAAGAGAACTGGTTGTGTTCTCAATGACTATCCTCATGACTGCACTTTCCCAGCCCCCTTCAACTGCCATTACACTGGGAACATTTCTTACCTTCTCAGAGACCACCCAAAATGTGTCAAATGGGGGAAAAAAATCTTTGTGCTCCAGTTCCACAAGTTACATATCTTCATTTTTTTTTATAATAAAGACACAGATTTGGAAGATCAGATAATCTTTTTCTCTGATGCTGATGTTTTTTTGTGCCAAACAGATGGGATTTGTAGGCAGTTCTCTGTTCAGAGATCAGCTAGAAGGAAGAAGATAGGAAACCAGTTTCTCAACTATAAAGGAAGAAAGTGAATGTGTGCCTTTAAGCCTGCAAAAATTTAAACTGCCTTGTGCTCCTTTTCCGTGGACAAGTGACTAAAACATCCAACCTCCCAGGGTGGCCTAATGCCCCAGTCTTCATTCTGTGCTTTCTGAGGCGGCTCATGGGGACAAATTCCAGGGCTGAGCTAAAGCGCTAGACCCGTGGTTCTCAACCTGTGGGTCGTGACCCCCTTTGGGGTCACATATCAGACATCCTGCATATCAGATATTTACATTATGATTCATAACAGCAGCTAAATTACAGTTGTGAAGTAGCAACGAAATAATTTTACAGTTGGGTTCACCACAACATGAGGAGCTATATTAAAGTATGTTAGCATTAGGAAGATGCTAGACCAGTTCAAAGTGTGCTTAACATAGAAGGCGACACGCATATGGCTACTCTATGGGGTTCTTTTTCCTAACTCCCTACACCACCCCTGTACCTTCCAACCTCCCAACACCGGGTAGGAGAGAAAAAGGTCAGAGGAGAAAGGCAGCCTCGACATAGTTAGACTACCTGCTGATTAGGGGTATTGAGTTCCTTGGGTTGAGTTTGAGCTTCATCATCAGGATATCTTTCTAATCAGCAAACAGCAACCAGAAAGAGCAGCAGGAGCAGACAGGGGAGAGAGCAGCAACTACCTCAGCCCCGCTCCAGGCTCTCACACTTATACACTGATGCACACATACATATAGTTTATTATATGCAAACGATAGGTTATTGTATGTAAACTATATAATTTATATATTTAGAGCAGGTATTAGTTATTTTTCTGTTGCTTTAATAAAATACCACAACCAAAAGTAACTTAAGGAAGATAAATTTTAGTTTACGGTTCCAGATGGAGAGTCCACAATGCTGGGGAAGGCATGGCATGGCGTCAAGAGCAGGAAACTGATAGTTCACATTTCATCTTCACACAGGAAGCAGAAGGAAAGAACAGGAAGTCGAGTGAGGCTATAGACTCTCAAAGTCTACCTCTAGTGACATCCTTTCTCTAGCAAAGCTGCAGACTCCTAATGAGTCCATAGCCTTCCCAAACAGCCATGTATTCAAATGCATGAGTCTATGAGGGACATTTTTCATTCAAACTGTATCACAGCTGTATCTATAGAGGGTACAATCTGTCAGACACACAGGGTATCATTGGTTTTGCTTGTTTGTTTGTTTGTTTTTTATAGACACAGACTGAGGGGCATTGTTACAGGAAAGCCTCTTACTTAGCATGTTTATAACTGTCTAGGTTCTCCCTACACAGAGTTTTGCAGACCTGGAAGAGAAATGTTCTCCTCCTACTCTGATGATCAAAGATGAGGAACTGTCTGACTATATTATCTGGAGAAGAAAACACAATATGTTTATTCGCAGTGACGATTTGATTGTAGGAAAAGTTCAAGATTAAAAGAAAGCGTATCATCAGGCTAAAAGTTGGAAGGCTATTTGGAATCCGCTCTGTCCACTGTCTCCCTGGTGTCGGGAGCATTGCATGGTGCAGACTGCACTTTGAGGTTTGTGGTTATGGGAATCCTTAGCGGGCTACTAATTAGCAGGCTGGGCTAATGCGTTAATATCAGGCTCCAAAGAGTGTATGTAGGAATGCCTAAAGTGAGGAGAAGCCATTGAGTTCCCCGTGTTAGACAGGCCTTGTCTCCTGAGACACAAGAGGCCGTGGTTGAAGAGGGTAAGGTGAACAGGGAGAGGAAATGTCTAGACAAGCGGACTCAGCCTTTTATCAGAATGCTACGAGGCACCCATTGAGGTACACAGGGTGCTAGCTCCGTGGAGTGACTAATCTCAGTGCAGCGTTTCAATGAGCGCCTGAAAGGCGCGGCAGACCACATAAGCTGGCACGAATGACAGACTGCTGGGAGCTCCTGCAAGCACTTTTGTCAGACCTGTCGATTTTCAAGGAAATGTAGCCAGTAGCAATAATCATTGCCGTGGAGACGATGTGAACCCTCATTTCCTGGGTTCTTGGTGGGCAATGGAAGGGATGAGTGATGACAGTGACCGGTGGCAGGATGGCTAGAGAATCTCAGAAACACCAATGGACTCCCTTTCTGGAATCTGGTGGTAGTCGCCAGTTGGTCAGTGAGCAGGAGCTTGAGGGGTGATGCCACCACTTTGCTGTACTGGGGAGGAGATCGGTCACACCATTTAAGTTTGGTCTTTCCCCCTGTTGACAGGCACAGGCTGTAATGATTCATTACATAATTTTATAGTCAGACCCTTATGCCCACCTTTCCTCTGAACAGCTGGGTCTATTTTTGCTACCGAGTCCGAGATATCCTGTGAGAATCTTAGGAGCCGGTTGTATGTATTGAACCAAACAACATGTTTAACAATGAAGTGGGTGTTTCTGTTAGAACACCAGCCACAGGAAAGAACAGTATGGGCTTGCATCTGAGGGTCTGGGTGTTTCACTATGGGTATTTTTACTTAGGACTCTGCAGTTTGGGGAAACTCAGTAACCCCCAAAGGCCAAATATACATGTTCCTCAGAAGTCCAAAAATACAGGTGTCTCCTCCCCTAACAGATCTTACTCTGACCATAACAATGCTAATGGACCAGAGGATCCTTGCAAATAGCCAATAATTTAACTCAAAAGGCATATCACCGCGGAGTGTTCTGTAAACATGGTGTAAGGAAATGGCCGCCCCAGTAATGCACTTATTTGCTTGTCGTCTTGATAGTCTAGCCAAGCAGTTTTTTCTTAGCATTTCAAGTATGTATGTATGCATGTTTATATGTATGCCTAAATGTATGCAAGTTTGTCTGGGTGCCGTGGTGCATGTCTGGAGGCCAGGGAATAACTTTGAGGAGTCACATCTCTCCTACTACCATTTGGATTCTGGGAATCAGACTCAGATCCTCAAGCTAGGCATTGAATGCTTTGCTACCTTGCTGGCCCTTCCCTAACATCCCCTGAAAAGACAGCTCCTGGTGGTGACTATTAGTCTGAAGAATAAACTCAATAGAAGACCTTGGAAGGTCATCTAGGCTTTGGAAGCTGCAGTTCATGTTGAGAGCTGACCTGCGTGTCGGGAGTCTCTCTGAGGGAGACATAGCTTTCAGGCTGTGTGGTGATGGGGGCGGGGTGACACTTGCTCCCTGCAGGCCATGATGATGCATTCTTTTGGGGAGGCCTCTCAGAGCCTGTCTAGCCCCGGGACTATCCAAGTGCGGGCACCGACTGTGTAGAGTTTGATGGTCATTCGAAGCACCTGGTTACATAGATGAACCAGTATTTGACTTCAAATCCGTTAGGTTCAGGATCTAAGCTTTCAAATGTTTCGGTTGGTTCACAACCAGCCACTTAGATGTGAGGCACGTGAAGGGATCAGTTCTTTCCTGTCCCATGTCTTAGACAATCAGCCATTGTCCAAAGAGCAAAGTGATTCTTATTTCAAAAATTTGGGTTTGAAGTTTTGGGAACACTGCTGCTATTCTATAAAACAAATGATTTTCTTATCTCTTGTTCCTCACTTCTCTCCTCCCCACCTTCAGGAAGGGTCCCTGTGGCCTTCTGACAGCTCCGTGCAGCGGCCAGGCCCTTCAGAGGTAAGGTGGAGGCTGGGGGGAAAGTCATGGCCACAACCTTGGATTTGAAATCAACTTTGGCATATATATACGTGCCAGCCTACATATGCAGACACACACATGCATGTAACATTTGTTTTCTAGAAGACAAGTGGGATAGAGGGAAGAAATTTACTTATGTAATTAACTTTTACATAAGCCTTAGAAGTAATTAGCTTAATTATGCCATTTACATAAAAATATGTCACACTTTGTTCACATTTGGTTTCCTCCCCACTGTCTTCCCCATATCTTCTGTTCCTCTCCTCACTGACTGGTTTCCTTCTTTCCCTCAGTAGCCTCTTCCAATTCTTATCACCTGTGTTCTACAGCCTCTATCTCACTTCTGTTAAGAACTTTTTACCCTTCATATTCCTGTTCTAGCTTCATAATACACAGAAAGGCTGACTCTCTCTCTTTCTCTCTCTCCCTCTCTCTCATTTTAGACTAGGTTCTGAATATAAGAAAAAATAGCATTTCTGAGTTTGTTTTGTTTTACCTAACAGTGATTTCGGTTCCATCCATTTTCCTGCAAATGTCAGGATTTCATCTTTCTTTATGGTTTCACAAAACCCCACAATGTTCAACATTTTCTTTATCCATTCTTCTGCCGAGGGATATCTAGGTTAATTCCATTCCCTGGCTGTTGTGAATAAGATAATAATAAATATTGATGTGCAGGTATATTTTTAGAGTACTTGGTACGTGTTTATAAGACTAGTATAGCTGGGAAATTTGACAGTTGTAGCTCATCTTTGCTACTTTGTGGGTTCTTCTTTTTCCCACCCTTTATCCCTCTTGTTTCTTAGGCTCCTCTATTTCCAACCCACAATTTTCTGATTGCTCAGCCATTCTTCCAACTTTTTTTTGAAACAGAATATATGAAGAAGAAAAAGATAAAACAGAAAATCCCCTCTGGGAGCAAAGTGAGGGATATCCCAGTAGTAGCAGCCACAATAAATTTTTGCTGATGTCTTGAAAGAAAAATATTAAATATTCATTTATTTGTTCCTTGATGTTTTCTCTACGACATTTGAAATAAAATTTCTCATTTTTATTTTTAACTTTTGTGCCCCACATTGAAGCACCTCTTGTAGTTTGTCTTTTGCTATTTTATAGGTTCTTCTTTTTCCCTCCCTTTATCTCTCTCTGGTTTCACCCCTTATCACTAGATAGGAGAGAAAGAAAAAGAGGGGGGAGAGAGAGAAACAGAGGGGGGAGAGAGAGAGATCTTTGAATCTAATTTCTTTTTTTTTTTTTTTGTTTCTTCTTTGCTTGTAGCCAGTCTTTGCTACTCGTGGGTTCTTCTTTTCCTCACCCTTTACTCCCCCAGTTTATTGCTCAGGCTTCCCTTGAACTCATTATCCTCCTGCCTCTACTTTCTTCAGTGAATCCTACTAGCGTTCACCACCACAAACAGCCTGTCCTTTGAAACTCTAAAGAGACAAATAATATTGAGTATGTGCCAGACACTTCTGGGTGTGTAACATTAGCAAACAAAACAGACAGAAATCTTTGAGTTGCTGGGTTTACCTACTCCAGAGACTAATGAAGCAGGTAGATCACAAGTTAAAGGGCAGCCTGGTTTACAAGCTAGGGTGATAAAGGGTAGGAAAAGAAGAACACACAAAGAACACACAAAAACAAGTACAGATAATTCCCTTTTTTTCCAATACCCACTTTAACAAGGCCTTAATCCAGTCGTAAAATAGTTGGCGACCCATGTAACATTCATACCACTGCTGTACCCTAGGCATATCTTGCCAGACCACTTGCTATTGTAGCTCTCTGGGTTCACAGGTCAGTAAGATGGAATCTCAAAAGCAATTTGCATTTTCCTGATGGTTAAGGATATTGAACATTTTTTTTTTAAAAAAATGCTTCTTGGCTATTTGTTTTTTGCTTTTCTGGTTTTTGTTTTGTTTTGGTTTTGGTTCTGGTTTTTTGAGACACAGTTTCTCTTTGTAACCTTGCCTGTCCCGGACTTGCTTTGTAGACCAGGCCGGCCTCAAACTCACAGAGAGCCACCTGCCTCTGCCCCCCTGAGTGCTGGGATTATAGGCCTTCACCACTGTGCCCAGCTTGGTTTTTTTTGTTTGTTTGTTTGTTTGTTTTGTTTTGTTTGTTTGTTTTCCAACTATTTAATTCTGTATCCTAGCTTTTAATTGGGCTGGTTTTTTCCAACACTGTCAGATATATAGTTGATAAAGATTTTCTTCTCATTCTGTAGATTCTTCTTTACTCAAATGATGGTATCCTTTACTGTCCAGCTTTTTTAGTTTAATTTGTCAATTGTTGCCCTCAATGTCTATACTACTGAGGTCTTGTCAGAAAATTATTTCCTGTACCTGTAATTTGAAACATATTATCTTCTTTGTTGAGATACTTGGTCCATTTGGAATTGACACTTGTGCAGGATGAATGACAAGGGTTTACTTTCATCCTTCTACAGGTAGCTGTTTAGTTTTATCAGCACCATTTGTTGGAGATGCTGCCTTTTCTACAATGTATACATGTTGGCCTCTTTGTCAAAAGTTAGCTTGCTGGGGGAGTGTGGGCTTAATTTAGGTCTTCAGTCTATTTCATTGATCAATGTATCTGTTTTTATGCCAGTACCATGCTGTTTTAATTACTATAGCTTTTTAGTATAACTTGAAATCTGGGATAATGATACCTCCAGCAGTTCTTTTATTGTGCAGGATTGTTTTGGCTTTTCTCATCTTCAAGCACAAATATTCTCTTTTCAACTTGATCATTCTTTTGTCAAGGCTTTCCCATGGAGCTTTTTATTTGGCTTATTGATTTTTTATTTTACATTTTCATTTGAACCTTCAAAAATGTTTTTTACTAAATTATATTTTCATATTTTGAATTTTTTTCTTTGTGTTAGTCAACTGTGTTTTATGGTCTTTATTCTGGCATTTATGCATATCCTCTTTGAGACAGTCCTGAACTTGTTTGTAATTATTATTTTGAAATCACTAAGTTGCTTTTCCGAGGCAACATAACTATGGGAATACTGGTTTTTGGAGGAGTCCTACTCTCTTGTTTATTTCAGGTATTAACATTTTGCAATGGGACCCGTGGACCTAAAGTTACATCATTGTTTTTTGTTTGTTTGTTTGACTTTTGGGTTTGTTGTTGTTGTCTGTTGGTTGGTTGGTATAGATATCTGACCTATCTTTGTTGAGTAGACAATTGGATCCTTGTTTTCTATTATTCCACATTGTCAGATTCTGAATCAGCTGAATGGTGTTTGGAGTTCAGTCTTATAGGCAATGGGTGTTGATGTGTGAATTGGGCCCCAGATCTTGTGCTTTTTGAGGACAAGAGCTAACCTTCCATAGAGTTAAAATGTTCTTACTGCAAGTTCCCAGGATTCTGTGGAAAGCTCACTCGGTTCTGTAGGTGGTTCAAGGTACGAGTTGGAGTTGTGGTAGTAGGTGGCCCTACCCTAGAATGGGGCATGTAAGACTTGAGGTCCTCAAGGTGGTAGGAGTAGAGCTGCATCAGATGTGGGGATGCCTCCTCCCAGGGGTATGTACTCAGAACGCATGCTCCTCAGTCAACAAAGGTGCAGTTGGGGCTCAGGTAGGTTCCTCTACCTGAAGTGTTCAGTAAACCAATTCTCAGGTGATGTTGTGGTGGGAGTAGGGTCCCTACCTAGGGTAGGCATTAAAATGCTATTTTAATTTGTATTTCCATGATGGCTAAGGAGGTTGAACACTTTCTCAAGTATTTATTCTAGTTCTTCTTTTGAGAAGCATCCATTCAATAGTTCATTGAATGGCTTTCTTGATGTTTAATTTTTAAATTCTTCATATAGTCTAAATATTCCCTATCTGATGGGAAGTTGGCAAACATTTTTTCCCATTCTGTAATCTATCTCTTTATTCTGGAAGCTATTTCCTCTGCTAAGCAGAAGTTTTAATTTCATGCAGTCCTTGAAAAGTTTTTTTCTTATTAATTTTTAGGATTAGTCCCTGTGTTGATGTCATTCTTTTAGAAAGCTTTTTGCTTATGCCTCCATCTATTTCCAAACATTTTACCTATGTTTTACTTTAGCGATTTCAAAGTTCATGTCTTTGGTCCGTCCTCAGTTGATTGATGTATAGTGTGAGAGGTGGGGATCTTGTCTCATGCTATGATATGTGGGAATCCAGTTTTCCCAGCACAGTTTGTTAAACAGGATTTTTTTTTTAATCTCCAATAAGTGTTTTTGATGTCTTTGTCAAAAATTAGGTAGCTGTAGATATTTGAGTTTATTCCTAGGTCCCCTAGAAATTATTTTTCAAGGACTTGGAGGTACATCCATCACTAGGTTATTTTAGTTTCTTTTTGATGAAAGCATTCATAGCTATGGCATTTCCTCCTAGAACTGCCTCTGTTGTATTTCAGATATAAAAGTTAAGGTGAGCTTTAATTTTCAAGTTATTTTAGGAGTTGTTAAATTGTCTTCTTGATTTTTTTTTAAAATGCCACACTGGTTATTTGAGTGTTGTTTAGGGCTGGGGATATGGCTCTGTTGGTAGAGGGCTTGCCTAGCCTGCACAAAACTCTGGGTTTGGTTCCCAGCAGTGCATAATCCAGATGTTGCAGTAGCAGTGAGAGGCAGAGTGGGAGGAAGGTTAGATTTGCAAGGCTGCATGGAGAACTTGACACTTCATGATCAGCCTAGAGAGGGAGGGAGGAAGAAATGGGGCGGGGGATAGAAGGAAGAGGAAAGGGAGGGGGAGATTTCCGTGTATTTGTGTGGTTTTTGTAATTTTTTTTGCTATTACTTTCTTTTTTCATTGCATTATGATCTAATAAGAAATTATTTCAATCTCTTAGTATTTGTAAGCTATAATGTAATCTATTGAGAGGGGGTTTCACGGACTCCTGAGAACAGTGTGTATTCTGTATCTGTTGCAAGGTCTATTCTGTATTATCTGTTGACTCCATTTGATTTGTGTTATGTTCTAACTCTCAGATTTCTTTGTTGATTTTCAGTTTAGATGCACCAGCTAGAGATGAAAGTGGTGTGTTGAGATCATCCAGCATTGTATCATGACCTAGTACTCTTTTGTTTTGTGAAAATAGGAGTTCCCATACTTGGTGCACATATGCTTATAGTTGTTATATCTTTTTAATTGATTATCCCCTTTTAAGATTATGACTTTAACCATTCTAATTTTGATTTGAAGTCTGCTTTATCAGCTATCAGAATAGCTACACCAGCTTTTGATTTCCACTTGCATGGCAAATTGACTTCAGCTCTTTGAAACCTGTAGGTGCCTTTACCAGCCAGGTATGTTTCTTGGAGACAAGAGAAGTTTGGGTATACCTTTTTAAATCTACTCATCCAGTCTGTGCCTCTTGATTAGATTAGTTGAAGCTATTTCCGTTTAAGGTTATTATTGGGAGATATTTACTAATTTGTAGTTAGTTGTTATTCTAGCTGGTTATTGTTGGCTCCCATGAAGTTCTTTCCTGTGTTTTCTTCCTCTTTTGTGTATTACATTCCTTGTGTATTAAGTTTCCTTTGTAGTTTTGGCTAAAAGATCAGAACTACTTAAATTTATGCTTGTTTTGAAATGTACTTATTTGCCTGGTAATCTTAAAACATAGCTCTTCTGGATATATCAACTAGCAATTCTTTACTTTCAGGGCTTGAAATATCCTTTCCCTGCTCTCTTGGCTTTGTAGGGTCGCTGTAGGGTCTGGTGTTAATTTAGTGTACCTACCTTTGTAGGTGAATTTGTATTTTTTCATTATAGCTTTTAATATAGTTTCTTTGCTTTGCATTTTTGCTGTCTTGACTATAAAATGTCCTGGGCTTCTTCTCTGGTCATGTCTGTTTTGAGTTCTCAATGGCTGTGATGTTTGAGTGTCTATCTCTTTCTCTAGGTCTGAGATAATTTCTGTTTCTTTGGATACTCTATTCCTTTAGTGTTCATCTTGATTCTTTTTTTTTTTTTTTTCCTATCTGGGAGATTCTTGATTTTGTCATAGATTTCTTAGCCATTGTCATTCTTGGCTTTTATTCATTTTCTTGTCATTCATTTTCTTTTATTTGTGTTTGAATGTAGTATATTGTCAACCTTAACCTGTTATCTTTCTTTTGCTTGTGTGAGTTTATTGGTAAAGATTTCTACTGTGTTTTTTATTTAATTCCTTGGATTTTACACTTTCATAATTTATGATATTTTTTCTCCACAAATTTCAGCTTCTTTGCTGAAGTTTTCTTCTATGTGATTGATTTTCTTGTCTACTTTGTTGACTTTTATTTATATGTTTCTAACTTTGCTTTCCAGGTTCTAAAATGAATTCATCTTGTTTGCATTCTCTTTTCCCAGAAAAAAAATGATTAAAAATCCTCATCCAGCATTTTACATATATTATATCCTTGAATTTAGCAGTTGATGAGTTATATTCTTCTGTGGAATTATGCTGCATTGCTGTTTCATGTTTGTTGTGATTCTTTGTTGCAACACTCACATCTGCTAGTTTGGATATCATTTCCACTGTGGGAGTATTGTCTTTATCAAACAACCTATTCTTGAGATCTCAGTCCCAAGCACCATGGGGAAAACAACCCCAAAAGATAAAAACAAACAAACAAACAACAAAACTGTTGTAATAGCAGAGCAGTAACAACATACCATACTTGATTTGAAAATATGCTTAATATCAATGATAGCTCACCAATATATCACCAAGAAGACTATATATAAGCTGGTTTGGTGGTGCATACCTTTAATCCTAGCACTTGGGAAGGCAGAGGCAAGCAGATCTCTATGAGTTCCAGGCCAGCCTAGTATACATAATGAGTTTCAGGACAGCCAGAGTGATAAAAATATTCCCTGATTCAAAAAAGACCACACACACACACACACACACACACACACACACACACACAATCATGAAGCTGAAAGTAGCAAAACTATGGTATAAGTGTACTATAGGTTTAAAATTTGTATAAGTGTAGAAACAGTAAGTGAATGAGGCAGAGGAAGGAGACAGGGAGAAGGTAGAAATGGGAAGAAAGATCAAATAAATGAGCAAAAAGATGAGAGTTGAGAAAAATGTTGAAGGGAAGAGTAAAGGGAACGAGGTGAAAAGGAGAAAAATAAAGATTTCTCAGGAATATATAAGTTCAAAACCAATTCAAATAAATGCAAGGGGAGACAAGTGAAGCAAAACACAACAGAAAGTTAAAGTCTTTAGCAGTGGCTCTCAAGCTTTCTAAAGCTGCAGACCGAGGTTGGCCCAGGTGGAGACCCTATCTTTTTACATTCAAGATCTGTCCATCGCCCTGCTGGGCTGCAGCGTGCAGTGTCCATCCTTGGAACTTAGAGTTCTCTCTCTAGCGGTGAAGGGCAGGTGGGTGTCTCCAGCATTTTCTTGCTTTACTGGCCTCATGTTCAGAACTACTGAGTTCCAATGTTGTTATCAACCCAAGACACTTGTTTCAGGCCGTGCAGGGTGAGACGGTCTCTTTTATATACATCCTGGCATGAACCCAACCTCATGTTGCCACCCGCTTTGGCCTGTCAGTGTCTGTCCATCTTACCGTCCACAGCTGCTTCTGTCTTTCCTCAGCCAGGGTCTGTGTTGGCTGACCTGTAGCTGTTCCCTGGTTTTGGTTTCCTGGGGTCGCTCTGTTTTTAACAATAGGTCCTGTCTCAGGGTGGTGGCAGTACTGCTGCCCTCTGAGTCCTAAAGTGTGACAGAATGGGATTGTTCTCCGCTGATGATCTGACCACTTAAGAAATCGCTAGCTAGCTCCTCGAAACCTGTGACTGGCTCTGAGGTTTTTGAGGGCCGAGGGCTCGTCTGGAGGGTAGGACTGCCAGCCTTTCCTCTGGCGTACCTTTTGAAAATAATTTCTCTTCCCTTCCCTGCCAGCCAGGGAACGGAGTGGCCAAGGCTGTGTTCGGCTCACTTTTCTGTGTTGCTTCCCCCTCCTCTTTTGATGTCTTTTTGTGGGTTTCTGAAGTGTTTTCTGTCTTTGGAATGATGTCTATTTTCTGTTGCTCTGACTTTCTCTTTCACCAGCTCACAGGAGGGCTGCCTGTACTCTACCATCTTAAAAAAGACTCCCAAGAGATGAGTTTTGAAGACATATGCTCTGAGTTCATTTTTTTGGGGAAAAAAAAATCTACCATTGTATTTACTTTGGAATGTAAATTTTTCATATTAATAACTAAAAATAACTGTAGTAAGCTTACATTGAAATAACTGTATAAATCTAGAAATCCAGAAGAAAGATCACTTTTCCAATGTATTTATTTATTTATTCACAAATGTAGTTAACCTCAGAGACCCCTCCTTCCTTTGCTCAGTCATGGGTTCCAGAGCTGTCAGGTACTGAGGAAGCTAAGCAGCTTGCTCTGCCTTGTCTTACTTCTTATGGGTTAAGTCACTGAGGCTTATGGATGAGGCTCACCGGAGACCTTACGTAGAGGACTGCACCATGCTCCTGGCCTTATCCTTGTTCCTGGCCACTCCTTGACGTCCCCTTTGAATCCTTGTCACCTGTCCAGATAACTCCGTTACATCCAAGTCTTCAGTTAGCTCCCGTTCCCCACGGAAGTTTAGCCTTCCTGGATATACTAATACGGGTTAGGTCTAACTCCGCCCCCTCCTTTAAAGAAAAAACAAAACGAAAACAAAAAACCAAACAAACAAAAAACTGATTCTGGATAAATTCTTTCCTGTTTTCATGAGAAATGGTGTGAGAGGGGTGTGAAAACTGGTGCGAACACAGTATACAGGAGCATCCCCGAGCCCGTCCCCTGGTCATGGCTGTACTGAGAATGTCCTCAGGCCTCTGCTCTTGTCCTTCCAGATCATGTGTGCCCCACGGGGCAGGGAGAGGTTCACCACCCCAGCCTTCATCCAGCGGGATCCGTTCAGTCGTTTCCAGCCCACCTACCCCTATGTTCAGCACGAGATCGACTTGCCTCCCACCATCTCCCTGTCAGACGGGGAGGAGCCGCCTCCTTACCAGGGACCCTGCACTCTACAGCTCCGGGACCCAGAGCAGCAGATGGAACTCAACAGAGAGTCCGTGAGGGCCCCACCCAACCGAACCGTGTTTGACAGTGACTTGATAGACATTTCTATGTACAACGGGGGACCATGCCCACCCAGCAGCCACTCTGGCGTCAGTGCAGCTACCTGTAGCAGTAACGGGAGGATGGAGGGGCCGCCCCCGACCTACAGCGAGGTGATGGGCCACTACCCAGGCACTTCCTTCTTCCAGCACAGCACACACAGGGGCAGCAGCAGACCACCGTTTCAGCCGAACAACTCAGAGGGCACAATAGTACCCGTCAAAGGCAAAGACAGGAAGCCTGGGGACCTGGTCTGATCGCCTCCACAGTGCACTTTTCAAGGAGAGAGAAACCTCGGCAGGGAGAGAGAGGCCTGCAGGCTGGCCCTGCCTCAGTGGCTGTCCGGCTTTACGTGGTAAAGCTGAGTAAAACCAAATGTGCAAACGCGGTCTTCGTTTCTGATTCCTTTCACGGGAATTGCATGCAAACAAGACTGAAACCATTCAAACTTCCATCAGGTCTGACCACAAACAGTGTTCATCTTGGGGCAGGGGTGGAGTCAGGGCTAGAGATGGCATGAGCTTGGCAAAGGGCATGCAGAGAGAACCGAGAAGGCTGCTTTGAAGACATCATGAAAGTAAGACCCACAGAGGTATTTTTGACATATTTAATTCCAAAAGGAGACTGCAGATACACGAGGCCAGAACGGCCTGTTTTATAATTAACTGAATACAGAAGGAAGAAGTATTATATATTATCATGGGGAAGAATCAGCCAGTTTGCTTTTTCTCCAAAGGTGTGACACTTTTATTTTGTTTTAAAAATATGAGTCAAAACTCCTGTTTTGTGTGCCAAGGTATAAAGTTGGAGAAGTCAGGCGAGTGAGAGGAACTAATTTGTGTTGTGACGGTATGTTTTAAGAGTTGCACTATCTATAACGTTTAAAATATGGATGAGGGAACTGTGTCATGTGAGGTTCTGTATGTTGTCTTGTCGCCTATGGATGGCTATTATGCCCAAGGAACACCTCGAAGTGTCCACAGGGTCACACAAGAAAGGCATTTGGGGATGTATGTGCCCCGGTGTTTACCAAGTTGCATACATTTAAAGAGTGCTTATGTTGCAAGTTTGCAGCCAGAAGCGTACTACTGAGGTATGCGGAGGGGTTGGTGAAGGGAAAACACCTGCGCTGCGTGTCGAGCGTCCTGCAGAGCTAGCCTTATTCCCAGCACCGTCAGCAAGTGTTTAGACTTTTTTCACTGTAGCATGAAGTATATTCAGATACATACCCTATTTTATGCAATAAATTGTTTAAAATGCAAGATGGTTATTTTGTGTACTGCTGAACTTTATGGCACAGCTAGTCCCATTGCCCCTCCCCTTCCCTGGGCAGCTCTGTTGAGTTCTGCAAGGGTGCTCTGTTCGGCCCCTGGCACCAGCAGCTGCCCCCTCTTGGCTTCCTAAGTGCCATGCTGGTAATGGTCCCTCATGGTTAATATGTCTCCGGGCCTGGGAGAGGAGCACATCTGGCATAAGCTATTACCTATCACCAGTGCTACACGTTAGAGGAATCCGGCCCAGACCTACCCAGACTCCTGGCACGAGCTTATTCTGCCTTAGCCAGTCTTTGTACTGTGGTCAGTTGGAGAACAGAAATGGTGGGCAGGGCTGTGGCTCAGGACAAGGCAAGGCAGGCAGAGTTGCAGCTGGAAAATGGCTTCTTAGTATTTGAAGTCGGTTTACTATTGCTAATATTTCCAAACGTTCATATGTAGAAGAGAAAACAACAACAACAACAACAACAACAACAAACCAAACAAACCAAACAACGTTCTACAGATGCAAGGGCTGGCTTTGTATACCCTGTACCAAGAGGCCATCTATGGTGCCAGGCCTCTCTGCATGGAACAGAGTGAAGAGCAATGGAGATTCAGTGGCAGCTTTAACACCAATTCTGTGTGTGTGTGTGTGTGTGTGTGTGTGTGTGTGTGCGTACATGTGTGGTGTAACTGTTTTCAGCAGTGATTATGTGAGGTAACAACCCTTAGCTGAGAACTAGAGGTTGTCTGATGCTCCCAGTCCTGTCTGACCCCAGGCTTCTCATTTCTGCTTGTCTCAGTAGGCAGGCCACTGGCTTGCTTTGAGACTTGAGATCTCTGTAGGATGTATCCACAGGGATACTCACAGCCCAAAGGAGAGAGGATAGGCAGCAGTTGGCAGTTTTTGCTTAAACTCTGCTCAGAAGGATGTACCCCGGAGGGTGACTGGGACTCAGGAGCTGCTTTTCTACCTTGTCTGGTGATATTTAGTGGCCTCCCAGGCCATGGGCTAACTGGGCCAAAAGGTGACCTTTCCCAATTCCCAGAGGCCTCCTGAGAAGGTTCTGGCCCCTGGTGACCTGTGCTTTCAGACTGCTTGAATTGGCAGAGGAGAGGAGGAGGAGGAGGTCTGTGTCCTCACTAGGTTCTCACTGGCAGGGACTGGCAGGACTGATTGCTAAGGTGAGGTTATTGGAAGGTGAGGTTATGGTTTTGTCATTCCAAATCCTAACTGGTTTTGGTGAAGCTGGCAATTCCACCCCTTCAGTTTCAGCTCTTCGTGGCTTCTCAATCCTTACTTTTATCCTTACTTTATCACCAGCTGTGGGAATGAACCGAGATCAGAGAACTGTAAATTCCTTCGGAAGTTGGCAAGCACATAGACATTTTGTAGATGCCAATAGTATTGACAAACCAATTAATTCAAGTAACTTTAATTTCCTTTCAAAAGAGAAGTTGCCGCCTTCTTACACACACACACAGTGACTTTGAGACTGGACTTCTTTCAGGAGTTAGCTTAAAAGCCAAAGCAAAGGAATAAAAATGAATTTAGTCCATTGCTCTTGGCACAGGGAGGAGAAGATTTAGGTAGCAGCCTTCAAGCTGATAGTCCATGCCACACTGTGTCCTGGCTCTAAGGTCTTAAGTAGCAATTGTGGGGCCCGCTGTCTTTCAAGAAGTGAAGCGCTTAGAACCCAAGTATTCGGTTTAGAACGCAGTGAATCTAGGCAACTGACCGCAGGTTATAATGATAGATTATTCCCATAGGGCAGTAAAGGTTTGCATTATTAGGAGCAGCAGCCATAGCAGGCTAGGAACACTTCTGTGTTCCTTCATATGGGACACCGTCTGCAGATCCATCCACTGGAGATCAGCCTTTTGGCCTGCATTTGCTTTCTGAGAATCTCTAGGAACAATGAAGGAATATTTAATGCAGAGATGGTGAAGCCAGGTACACATCCAGTTACGGTCGCTGCTAAATCATGCCCCATGCCTCCTCCACCCGACACATACCTAACTCACAAGACATCAAGAGGTGGCAGAGTGACTAGCACTTACAGATGTACCGTGACAATTACATTTTTCCTTTATAACTTTTAGCTCAAACTCAAGAGCCAAGGCTGAGAAGTCAAACTGAGATGAATGCCTCTCACACAAACATGGGAACTGGGTTTAAAAAAAGAGTATTTTTATGTGTGTGAAATTCTAAGTAGTTTTATTTGATCCTTATCTTTATTTTATTGGGACCAAAAGGAAGTACTTTCAGAAAGCTGCTTTAATCTGAGGATCCATTCATGTGCCTGCCTTCGGCTCAGGTGTCGGTTTTACACCTCTTACCTGCTGTTCTTTTTAGACAGACTCCTGGGGTAGCCCTTCTAAGATGCCCTCAGACTGTGTCATTGAGGCAGCCCAGGGGGCCCGTTGAGTTCTGCTGGCACTCCGATGGAGCGTGGACATCCCTGGGCTCCATGGACTTTGGAGTCCCATGGACTTTGGGCCATGGAGACAGAATTCACACGCTGTAGCAGCGCTTCCAGAGTTTTGCTATTTCAGACGGTGACTCTCATGTGTGCTAAAAGCTTCAGCAGCAGGAGTGAGGGGAACACACTGGGAAGGGTGCTTTCTGTTATCTCTGCTCTTCTCCCGTATCAGTCACCCACTGTGACTCGCTTGCACCCTAAAGTCACAAGCAGCTTCATGGATTACTTAGACTGTACCCATTCCAACAGACCCCGTTGTGCGGCTGCCTGGAGCTGTTTAGTCCTTGGAGGAATGGACAAATCACAATAGCATCCTCAGCCACAGTCTAAAACCACAGTCCATTGGTTTTAGAAATAAAGATGTCAATTAACAGCTGGCTTTGCAAGCCGGAGGTAGCACCAGGCTGGCGTCACAGCACAGGGACATCTTGTTGAGCAAGGGACTTCTCTCCATATCCCATCTTTGTCCCTAGGTGTGCGGGACAAGTTCAGCACTAGACGGATGACGCGGTCGCACCTATCCCCTCGGTCCCTAGCTCCGCAAGCCCGCCCCTCAGCAGGGTGCCTGTGTTCTGATGTCGGATGTCGGGGCCAGCCCGGCGTGTAATGCTCACCTTTGTCATGCCTCCCTTGAAATGGTGCTTCTTCAACTGTTTGCTTTTATTTGTAAGGTGCTGTATATACACTGAACATCTGCACATGCTCTACCCAATGGGTAGAGCAAGAACTTAATACTGTAATATACTGTAGAGATATCAATTTTAACAGAAATGGCATAGAACTTGTGAATGCCTATGTCCTCCCATCTTTTGTAAGGAAACTTGCAAATGATTACATACAGATAAAGTCTATGTAGTTTATTTTCCTATTAAATATCGTTATTAACACCACGGAATGCAGTCTGAACAAGCAAGCAGCCGTTTATGACCAGCACATAAATAGGAATTGAGTCGTACCTTTGCTCTGAAAACACTTCCGTAATTTCTAAGATGTTATTTTAATCCCTTTAGAGATAATTAGACCCGTTTGGTTCTGTTTTAGTCCGGGGAGAAAGGTTGCTTTTTAGCTGGCTCTGTGTGCAGGCTCTCTCACTGCAGCACCATGTCAGGCCTCAGCGGTGTGTGCAAACCTTTGACGACACACATGGCGTGAGGAAAGTGAGTGACTATAGCGGAGGCTGCATAGCCTCGGGGCACTTCTGTTTGTGCCCATGTTTCTCGGTGCCTTGTCTTATAAATGGAAGCTATGAAGCCAATGAACTGTCAGAAATTCGCCGGGAGAGTGTGCCTGAGAAAACAGATCCACTGGGGATGATTAGGGTAGGAAAAATGGTTTGAGCTGCCATTAGAGCTGCCCATCAGCTAAGTACAGAATCTAAAGTCCATTCCTATTGTGTCCTGTGGTAGCCTTGACCCCTAAGGCTACATGTTAAGCTACATGTCAGTTCACTTTTCTCTTCCAGCTGTTTTCAGTGTCCACTTGCGGTTTTGGCATTTTTCTTTAAGTTTTTTCACTTAAGCAAAGAGCCTTGGTGTCCATTAAACCACCATGGACACTAAGTGCTGTCCAAAAAGACAATTCATGGAATGATGCCCACGATCCGGCTGTGTCACCAGGTGACTGAGTAATTCCAGGCTTTTTCTTTGCTCTGTTAGGTACTCTGATTCTGAAAGTCAGAAACAGAATTACCGTTCAATCACAAAAAACACTTGAAGCTCTCGCTAATTGTGCTTTAATGTGCAAATCTTTATGCTGACTCAGTTCTCCATCTCCTCTTAAAAGAGCTGATCGAGGAAGACAGTGGGTACCTCCTAAGTCCCATCCAAGTCCAAGTTAGTGTCTCTGCCTACTACAGGGCACACCCTACACCCTCAGGATCCCTGGGTCCAAGACACAAAGCACTGTCAGACAATCACTGTCAGAAAATGGGCACTCTAGCAAGCATCAGAATGTTCTGGACTCAGTAGTAAGATGTGTAACCAACCAGATTCCCTTCTATAGACCCAGCCCTGGCCGAGCATTCCACTCAACGATACTGGTTCTTGTCTGATATACTTGCTTTTCAATTTCAACTCATATCCTTTGCTGAGTTTATAGTTGTTTAAAAAGATATACAGCGGTATCCACGGTATTCAGCTCATTGAACTTTTATTATAAAGCAATCTACTGAGTACAACTGTATTTGAACCTTCAATCTTTGTGAGCTATGATAATCAGAATTCATAGAGCCCTTTTGTGTTTAAGCAACCACATGCTTGCTCTTTAACACAATCCCTGGTTATCTATGGGAAGTGATTCACAACTGTCATGCACCTGCCTTTTCTGCCCAGGCAGTGATGCGGTTTAGACCTCAGGTCTGTAATTGCAATACTTTTGATGAAAGATGTTGCACAAGTACTGTTTGTTAGTTATGAAATCAGGTTTCCTGCGTGTTCTTAATGCCATGATCAAATCATAGCACAAAATCATTAAAAAGAATCAGTGATAAATATCTGTTCCCTGAGGTTGTTTGTTCACTTTTCA